GGGGGCTGAAGGAAGCTCTCAGCCGGGCTTTCAGCCAGCAACGGGCAGAAGGCGCCGGGGCTGGGGTTTATCTACCACAGCTCACCAAGGGCTTCGCCCTCTTCCTGTAGCTTTTGGGGAATAAAAATTACTGGTGGTGCTGGTTTACCCTTCCTGGGCACCCGCAGTCACGCCGCAGCACCGGGCTGGACGGTCCTGCAGCCCGGGAGGCTCGTTCGGCGAGGTGGTATGTTGGAGGGCAGTCATCTCACCGGGAAGCCGGGAGCAGCGTTGGGAGAGAAGAGCTTTGCCGGCGAGTTGTGCCTGGGGAGGGATGGGGAAGCAGGAGGTTCGTCATCCACCCCGCAGCTCTCTGCGCCAGCGAGGGCGGCCGGTCGGCGCAGAAACACACCACTACACCAGGGCTCCTCTGAGAACTATTTATTTACATTAAAAGGCTATTGTACAATCTGAAAGAAAGGAAAAGAAAAAAATAAGAGACCACGTTGTAGAGGGGCAGGTGTGCCAAAATTGGCGTACCTCGCTCGCCACCCGGCGCCCCTCGCTCGCCACCTCGTCTTGCTGCCGTCTTCCTTCTGCTCTGGTCTGAGCGGGAGCTGCCATGATCCTGGTCGGAAAATCCCTTCCCAACCCTCTCTCAGTGTGAACATCCATGTTTTCTGTTTCAGTGGCTTTCAGAAATCTTTGTTTTCTGCCTCCAAAGAAAACTCTTGCCCAAACATTTTTTTTCTTAATTTATTTATGTAACACAGTGTAGAAAGCTATCAATTCATAAGCAATGGTTCTGTACAATCATCCTGCAGAGGATCCCCGTTAATTTTCAACCAGCAGGCACTTTTCCCCCCCAGAAGTGCTCACAATTAACAGGGATTCTTTTTAATATTTTTTTTAAGATCAAAAAGATACATGGAAAAGAAAATAAAGTTTACCTTTCAATGCCTAAAGTGTGCACATAAAACAGGCACAAAGAAACGAATGTGTATTCCCATGATTTCTACGTCACTAATACAGCAGGAGCAACAATCTGTACAATAAAATGCAGCTGCAGAGGAAAAGAATTTCAATAACTCATCTGGAATACTTTTTAAAAAATGTTGTTTTACTTTAAAATGCATAGTGATCAGAAAAAGATGCTCAGCAAAGAGAAGCAGCTAAACCCCACAGACACAGAAAGCATCCCCCAATCAATTCTTAAAGCATATTTCAATTAGGACTTAATTTCTGTCACAAATCACAAGAATAATATACAACTGGCTAAGGAGCTACATGATAAATAATTGGGAAAGAGAATCTATCCATGCACTAGTTAAATACAGCTAACCTCTTTACAGTACACAAAAAACATTCATTAATAATGTAGTGTAAAGACTGAAATGTAAAGAGAAAGAGAGAGAAAATACATTACTGATTTTATTAATTCAAGTTCAGGCATCTACTTGTGTTACAGCACAGCTGTCAAAAGGCGAGAATGAGTAAATAATAAAACAGAGTGTTTTTCTTCCTTTCCACATTATTCTATAACTGAACACGGATGGGCAGTGAAGCAATCATTCTGCTGTCCAACTCATGAGGCTGCTGTGGTGTCCTAGTTCTGCATCTGTTCAAAGAACTTGTAGGTGGGATTTTCATAGCCATTTTGCTGCATCTTGGAAAGGTGGCGCTCCTCGGGTGTCACGGCAGCATCCACCTGTCACGAGAAGAAACCACCAGCGTCAGACTCTTGCTTAATCCACAGCATGCCCCACGTCAGTTCCCCGCTTCACGGCCATCCAACATACTGTACCCTCCCCTGTGCAGTCGGGCAGAAAGCATCCTCTGAAACGCAAGATGGTTTGTTTGACAATCTCCTACGGAAGTCTAAAATAAAGGTGGCTGGGAAGGGATGGGGATGCTGCTCCACTAAACAGAGTATTCAACCTAGGACCTGGAGGCTCTCGCATTGCCTGAAGAGACAACTGTCTCTGAGAACTCCTCTCTCCAAGTTACGCAGGACTGCGAGTGGCCTCACGAACAAAATCCGCACCCAGCAATAAAGGAGAAGCCAGCCAACAGCTTTAAAGAGCAACTGGCAGGAGATGGTCCATCCGGCTTGGACAGCCGTGGTTCTCTTTTTGGACAAAGTAACACGCAGGAGAAGGTAAGGCAACAGGAACGACTCCGCAACTCATTTTTTTTTTGCTGCGGGACTTCGAAACCAGCTGCCCAAACTCAGCAGTACCGGCTTTGGGTTTTGTTGTCCGGCTCAGGAAGGACACAACTCCACAAACAACGGCAGGCGATATATTTCGCGTCCCCCCCATAGTCCCCATTGCCAGGCTTCTTTCCCCTGTAGGACATGTCTCAGTAACTATACTTGGGACCAGCTGGATCTCAAAAGAAAAGAAAATGCTCACTAAAAAGCTGCAGGAAGTGGCCTGAGGCTGCCTCTTGTCTACACTGTGCGCTCAGATCTGTTGCAGGTGCTGTGGTCTCAAGACCAAGAAAATTTAATTGGAAAAACTAAAACGAGGGTAGCAAGGAAATGCCGGAGTAGCCAGGCACAAGGTAAGCAAAAAACCCCACTGCACTCACGGACACAGAACTTATCTGGCTCCAAGGTCGAGTTTGGTTCAGTTTAGTGACAAAAAGCTTGATGGCTCTGCAGCGGTTTAAGTATTTCTACTTAACACAAATTGACCTTTCTTGATTACTTGGAAGACGGGCAGAAAGACAGCTCAGTCAAGACCTCCCCATTGAATACCTGCAGCTCCACAGATTATTTTCTTCCTTCACTGAACATTACAGTAATATAAAACTCCATTAAATCAGAGTGGGCGAGAACAGTCTCTAAATGTTAATTAGGTATTTTACCTCTGCCGTACCAGCTCAAGAGCTGTTGTGTATTCAAAACCTACTGTATCCCGGCTCTCTTGCTAAACCCCTACGAAGACAGAGCTAAGAAAGCCTGCTTGTCAGCTACTTCACTTGCTACCTGAGAGCTCCAGTGTTTGACAGCTCTTAAAAGAGAAGGTAAAGAGTGAATTTTACATTGCCAAAACTTTAAAATCGGGAAGGTGCCTAACACTCTACACTGAAGTATTAGGTATGAACATCTTCCTGTGGCTTCCTGCACACAGCGACCTTTAGGAAAAACATAAATAACACAAAAATAGCCTTTTGGGTAATGGGAAGTGTATTCTCTCAAGAAGCCTCATACAGCAGGCTAACTGACTGTAACCTTTTAATAAAAAAGCAAAGGAGAAGTACTTATGTCTGATACTCATTTTAAATCTAATCTACAATACTGGAAATAACTCAGCCTAATGAGGACAGACTGTGACCTTCGGGAATTGGTGACCTGATACCCTGGAGAACGATTGAAGCTGTGCTCTTCCATGCTTGGGACAAACGCAGGTTGCTCAGCTTATTTTTGCAGCCATTCTTTTACGGTGGCAGGTTATACCCCAGCACCACCAGAGAACGGCTCCTCTCAGAGCCACCTCCTCTCTCGAGGTGCTTTTGGTTGTTACTTAAGAGAAGAAACGGTGCTGTCTGCGGCACACGTATTACCCTGCTCCCATGAACTGCCAACCCCAAATGTGATCCGTTTTCGTATCTGTGCCCCTTCTAAATCTCCTCGTCCGTGTTCCAACTCTCCAATTACATCTTCAATCGACACTGTATCTTCCATCAAATCTCTCTTACACAATAACTACAGAGTTTTGGGGAATACCCAACTTTAAGGGTCACATACTGCGTTTGCTCATGCAGCTCTCCATAGCTGGCAGCCCGGAGCCCTCCAGCACACCCGTGACTCCTGCCGGCAGGGAACAGGGCAGAAAGGACCACGGGGCTCAGCTGACGAGGTCCTGCCTGTATTTCTGGTTCTGCAACACAACTTGGCCTTTTTTGCTGTTAAAATGCTGCCATTCAAAGGCTGTCGTTCTCTCGCTTTTTCAGAAAAGTTGCATTTGCATGGAGTAATGCTCTTACGCAACAAACCCCAAATCCATCCATTTTTTCACCTCCTGTGCCATGCTCTCAGGCAGTGAGATCCTGTTTAGGGAGAGGTCACTTTTACTTTAAGCTGCTCTTTCCAGATTTCCCGTCTTTTAGAAATAAAGAAGGGGGAATCGTGTTTTCCTCTCCCTGCCCTCCTCCCTCTCCAAAAACAACCAAAGGAACTTTTTCTTCAGAAGGATGCAAGCTTCCCCCAGCCAGCCCACACCAGCAGTGAGCACTCAGCTTGGCTGTCAACAATCATTTTCATCCATCAAGGACAGGAGAACCCCCAGGAATTTCACAACCCGTCTCCTCTTCAACCTCTACACCCAAATCCCTGAGACATTTCTGTACAACAACGTGCCCAGCGGCCAGCGGACAACCCTGCCCTTGCGTTGTAAAGACCTGTCCGTGCCTGCTGCTCCCGGCTCACCCCGGCTCAGCGGAGCGGCAGCGGCGAGGCTGGGCGAGAGGCAGGCAGAGAATGGCCACAACTCCCCGCGCTCGGCTCTGCGACTCCCTCCAGGGCCTGGCTTTGCTTCCTGCCGCTTCGTCCGTCCCTTCTCCAGGCGTTCCCAACTTCTCCCTCCACAAGGATCCACCATCTAGATCCATACGCAGCAAATCGACTTCTGGCAGTTCCTCGATGCTATTGCTGTTCGGTAGAGCACTTGTTTCCGATGTATGTCATCAGTACGACAGCAGCAGGCCCAACAAATCCATTCCACATAGGTTTTGTACAAACACCCGAAAGGTCTAATCCCTGCCCCGAGGACTCTGTACACTTAACAGCGTTAACTATTTCCGTTAGGACAATGTCACCGCATGCCGCCTGCTGCTGCTGAAGTTGTCACTCCCATGGCTGCGACGGGAAGAGGAGAACAAAGCTGGGAAAACGGCAAATGTCCCCATAGCCTTCTCAGCACTTACAGAAAATAAGAATACAAAGCAAGGGCAGAGGAAAAGCCTCCCTTCCTTTCATTCTTGAGGGGGCTGCCATAGCATCCAGTCAGCCCCGGTTCTTGCGCGCAGTACCACCACGCTACCAGACTATCTCGTGCTTCTCCAAATCAAGAAGTGAGAGCCTCACAATTCACAGCTAAACTCACCGACGGATTCTTTTCTAGCACGAAATGAAAGCGCAATATGAAGCTCTGGGGTTGAAGGATCAGGAATCTCCGTGTACCAATACACGCCTGAGAGCATCTTCTTTTCTAGGAGGCTCCCCCCACCAGGCTGGGATGCAAACGAGGGGTATGCCAGAACCTATGCTGTATTCTTCACATTTAAGCTCCAAATAACACTGTATTGAACTCTGTCACCCCTTTTAGTTTAAGCCTCCCACTCAGCACTTCTTATTCAGGACTAGAAGATGTGATGAGCACACAGCATAACCTGCTTGTGGGCAAGAAAACAACATAATTAAAAAAGAATCCAAGAAAGTGCAAGGCAGAAGAGACTAAAGAATTGACAAGAAAGTAGAGAAACCTGAAAGAAAATCAGGGAGGGTGAAGATTGGGGAAAAAAAAAAAATCTGAGAAAGGACAGCAAAATGAGACTGATTTTTTAACACCTTTGCACAATACTCCATAGTAAAAAGTCTCACTTTGATAAAACTAGTTTATAGTGAAAGTCCAATAACCTCTGAAATATGGCATTTATGGATGAAAGGGATTTATGGAGGCTCCTACTTGCAGTTTTAGTCAATTTAGAAAAAAAATTTCCCCTTTAGCCTTCAAAATGACTAGTGCTGGTACTTGCCCTCCTTCCCGTAGCTGTCTGCCGCAGGGCAATCCATCTCACCGCCAACCTACGTGCTCTATCACTCATCCCCAACGCCTTCTCTTCTACCCACCTCTACCCATTCCGACTCTGCCAAACTCCTCCTCTCCTTCCTTACCACCTCTGTCCTAGGTATTGCTCTGCCAAACGACATGCCTTGAACCCGATTATCTCCTTCTCAGTAAATCCCTAAAGCCCTTTACCATTTTAAGAAGCTTTTTGCACTCGTTATGGAAGTGGCAGAAGCTGAACACAGCATGTCAGAGGTGTGGGTGCTCCGGCACTGCCCAGAAGCAGCCTGGACACTTCTCTTTTCTATGACGTGATGTCTCTTGAGGAAACAGCTCGGGCAGGTAGATAACCTCTTTTGAGATTGTCCTGCCCTTCTGTTCCAGCCTTATGGATCTTTCACAGAGAAAATCCTAACGTGGAGTCAGGATGATGGTAATGCTGCAGAAAAATTCCCGTGCTGCCTCTACACACGGGGCAGATCAAAAGCCCGGACAGGAGGTGCTGGCAGCCCTCAGAGATGCACAGAACCCAACGTTGTTGTTTAAACGACAGTCAACGGATGCTGCCTAATATACAGCTGCAGATCGGACTTTGGAGGGTACTACAGCAGTTGTTACGGCTACTCTGCTGCTCCTGTGAGCCCTCCCGTTGTCACCTCTCCCCACAGGCTCCTGCTGCAGGTGTTGCCTCTGTACCAGAAAGCAAAGGGGCTTCGAAGAGGAGACCCTGAGAGAGGAGGAGTGGAGAGAGCCAGCTGTAGTCTGGGGAGCACAGGAGAGGTGGGAACCTCTCTTTTGCCACCTGCTTTCGTGGAGGAAGCAAGCTCTGGCAGACAACTAGGTGGACGCACCAGCAAAAAACACCTTCAACGTGTTTGCCCAAGCTCCTATGTGCATATGTAATAAGTAATTTTCAATCAGTCACTTACTTCCTTAACTGTGGCAGTCCTCCTCCTGGAGAGGCCGGACCGCTTTGCAATATATTTGTATTTGCAGACGTGGAAGAAAATTATAGGACAAGTATATTCCTCCTCAGAGCTTCAAAAAAAGGCTAACAGGACTTTTAGTAACATCTTTTGTTAAAGAAAGAGTGAAATGAGAAAAAGTACTACAGTCAGAGCAGACTTTTTGGAAAATAAGAATACAGGTGGAACAGGACCTGTCTTGTAATCTGGCATCCACTATCACAGAGCTGAATTCTCACAGTGATTTCTGACGTGCAACAAACAGGTTGCAAGTTTTGCTAAAATATACTCAGCCAACCTAGAGCTGATGTACAGTTATTTTTACATGAAGTGATTTTGCTTTTTTGTGCTTTCTGTGCACACCATGTTAAAGGTGCACTGCTGCTGAATAAATTAATCCTCTTTAGAATGTAACAGCTTAATTTTGAAGACATTTTTAATATCAAACATCACCTGTATATGCATCTTTAGGTGGGTCCTCCCCCCCCCTCCAGAGTAAGTGCTACAATATTTTCACCAACCTAGGACAAAAATAGATGTCATGCCTTTCTTGCAGGCGAGAAGCTCAGACAGCGAGGCTATGCAGTCTGCCAAGACCACAGAGCAAGTCTGGCAGAATCAGGAATCCTGCCTGCCAATGCCAGACACAACGCAGCAAATCTGCAAGGCGACACCGTCTACAGCGTGGTACTGTACATCAACTAATATTCCTGGGAGAGCCGCATGCTGTAGCTTTATGGTTTTATCTGTAAAATTTTTTATTCCCTAAGTGATGCTGTCATTTTGACATGAATCACTTGTTCAGCTTCTGTGTGTTACTTCTAGTCCCACATTTCCGAGTTCACTGTCACTGAAGAAAGCTCATAGGAATCCAGGATTACCTCTGCCACATCATTCCATCAGGTGAAGCCCATCTGAAACTTTAAGGTTTCCCTGCAATAACTGTATGTCCACGTTTCATATCTGAGCTGGAGCTTTGGCCTAGCAAGCCCCCTCGCCTATTCTGTTGTCACTAAATTCAGCCAAAGGAGGGTCTCTGGTTGCACAACTGCTGGCAGCAGCTATCAATTAGGTGGTTTAAAACTAAAATCTGTTTCCATTTTCTACAAAATGGACTGGAACCTTTCATATGGAAAGTTAAAGCTGAGATTCTCGCTTGCTATTTTTTGCCTCTCGGTCCAAACTCTGCACAGCTTGCTGTCTGCTCAAACCTCACCCCAAATGGTTGATGTTCTTCTGACCATGTCGCTTTGGAAGGTTTCAAACCACGTGGGCAACCACAGCATAAGCATAAGGACACACGAGCACAGGCTTAAGACAAAGGCTTACTCATATATTTTTAAGACCTTTCATTGCCCCAAAAGGGAGAATACATGCATCAGGAAGCATGTATGTCTCCAGCAAGACCGAAGCAAGGTTCATTTGACTCAAGGTGAAACCAAGATAACTGTGGGCTTGAACAAGACTTCATTTCAATCAAAAACTTAAAATACCACGTTTGGAAGGCAAAAATATATAAATGTTTCAAGTTCTGGCTAATATAAGTACTGTTCGCAAACCGGACACTCACACAGCAAACTAGATATCAATACACGAGGTGAAAAAAAGTTACATGAACCTCCTTCCAGTTCTCAGAATTAAGATTTTTCTCCTTACAGGGATCCTTTCTTATATCCAAGCAACAGATGAGGTTATTTCAAGTTACTGTCCACGGACCACAAATTTACTTGGTAGATGGGGAAAAGACAAGGGTTTTCATCTTGAAAACCCCATATAAGAGTCTTTTATATTATCTGTTTCTCAAAACCATGAGTTTCAGATTAGCCACAAATCAAAAGCTGTTGGTGGCAAAGAAAAACCTTGATTAGAGAACAAAAAGTAATAAAGCATCAGTATAGGGAAAATCCTTGTAATGTACAGCACAATCCACAGAAGGTCTGCCTCAAACGTTTATTTGCAAGCTAAATAAAGAAATCTGTGTATGTGCGTTCCCAATAACAGTAAAACCAGATTTTTCCTCTCATGCAGTTATCTGCTCATTGGCTACCGCTACATTTCCTATAAAATGAACTTTCACATTATGAAGTGATTGGTCTGGGATGGTTCCAGAAGATATTCTTGTGGTTTTACACCCAACTTAACATGGTTTATACTGTGTCTGCATTTACAAAATAAGGCCATTTGATTCCACTCTGCCACTCCAACTCTGAACATTAGGCTAGCCAAAACCACGGTTTCATCATTTATAAATATATTTATAGTGTGTCGACTGTGCTGTACGTGTGACATCAGTTGTGCTTGGTAGTCTTTTCTTACCTCCACAACCCCATGATGAATAGATGTGTACTGCTTCTTCTTCAGCATCACCAATGTAATGACAATCACTGTTGCTATAACAACACCTCCCACCATTAGTCCAATGATGGCGCCTTTATTTGAACCCACATCTTCAGCAAAGAACACCTACAAAAGAAAAATAAAGGAAGGTGGCTCACAAAAAGTTCACCGAGTATTTGGCTAACCTGTCCAGCTACCACAGCAATATAAAGCCTATTGCGGTATCAGTAATTGAGCAGCACTGCACGTCACCTTAATTATTCAAAACTGGACCGCTCTCCCACAAAGCTCTCTCAGTTGGTGATGAGCAATTTGGGAAATCTGTGCTGCCTGTGGTGTAGCAGTGCTGTGGCTAAGGGGAAGACTCATCTCCACGTCTCTGCTCCACAGAGGTCTTAGTAGCTGGGGTTTTTTTCTTGGGTAAGTGAGGCAAGCTAATTGCAAAATGACTGATAAGCTTGTAAAGGAGTAAGCAGGGAGCATACAGATTTATTTTTAGAATGCTAATCATGAAAGTGTTCATAAATCTACAACTGTGTGGCTTGTCTGGACTATGCCTGATGCATTGCCTCAATAAAGGAGCAGAGGAGATCTGTAGGACAACAGTGAAACTTGCACACCACCAATGGGGAGAAAATTCTCACATCAAAGAGACAAGAGTCCAAAACCCACGAGCATGCCGATTTAAGTGACCACCAAGGGACGCATTGAGATTTTGCAGGGTAAAGGAAGAATGAGCTGTACCTGGATGATGACCACACTCATGTGAGACCTAGACGAGATGACAGTTGTGTGAAAAACAGAGAAGGTCCACTCGAATTATGTGTACTGAGAAGGCAAACCAGTGGACAGCAAGATGTTTTACTATGCATTTAATGTGACTGGCTTTTAGCAACAGGAGCAGGTATGAAAAGTGGGTGATTGTTTGCACTGCCCTGCTTTGTATTCAAGGAATATGCTGGATTATTTTACATCTATGCATACTTTACAAACCTTTTGTCCGCTTGTCAATAGTGGGCTTTTATTATTATTATTTTTAACCAAAATGGGCAAAAAGGATTAGAGAATAAATTACATTCACAGAATTGTAAGACTACCTCGCTCTGAAAGACTAAACACTTTGATAATATTTAACAAAAATGCAGAGGGAAGCAGGAAACCAGCTGAGAATTCTAACGAGCTGTATAACATTTGCACTCTTTAAGAAACACAATCTTCCTCAGAGAGATATTAAAGCATGCCGTATAAATATTTATACTGTTCCTAGTCATAAGCAAGAAATGTGCTTAAAGTTAAAAATTCTGTGAAAAATACACACAATGGACAGCGCTGGCATAAGCTGATGTGAAGTAATAACTTCTACTGTCAATTTTACCTGCCCAGGACTGAAATTCTGTTACCGTACTATTTCGGAGCACTGTGAAACGCCCCAGCTAATACGCACGTGCATCAGAGGAAGGCCTTAAGCCCTCTGCGCCATGAAAATCAACTTAATGCACGCTTAAAACGTGAACACTCATAAGGGAGAAAATAACTGCAATTTCAGCTCAATTCAGAAGTTTGCATGTAAACTACCATGCGCAGTTGAATTCAAAGCAATATCCTAAGGAGACTGTTTCAGTAAATCCTACCAGGCCACAGGAGAAGGAAAACACAGATGAAAGTATTTTCTGCTTCCTGCTTTTGAATTAAAGTTGATGGAAAAGGGCATCAGCTAGGATACGGCACGTGGTAAACAAGCCGTGTAAACCAAGGCACCAGTCCCGTCCCTTCTCAGCAACACTGGGCTCCCGGCTCAGCCTCAACTGAAAAGACAACCTAGAGGACAACCTACTCATTTTTAAATAATGGTTGTACCCATCAGTAAGAAGTATGGCATAAAAAGCTTAAAAAAGCTGGAAATGTCCCATTTTAAGCATGACACAGATTACCCAAGTGCAGGGATTGCCCTATCAGCCACCATGGTAAGGGTAGCTTCCAGCACCCAAGTGCTCGGGATGGTATCAAACCACTTAAGCATTAAATGTTGCTGCTGGGAAGTGCATATGACACAGGATCAATAACTACCGTGTCTAAAACACAGTCCTGCAAGTTCTTTCCCTTCAGTAAACTGCACGGCTTTAGTCCATCAGGATGTTTAACTCATCTGAGCTAAGCACGTCCGAATGTCCCAAATTAGTGCTAATGCATTTTGGATTAGCTCATCAAACCGGGAATTCTCAGTTCTTGGCATCAAAGAGACGGCAGAGTATCTTTTCACACAGTGATTGCCTAGTTCAAATGCAAATTTGAGTCCCATGTTAATTTTAATTTTCAGCACTACTTAGTTTTAAGAATATATTAAGAAAAAAAGCTTTCAAGTTTAATATGAGGATATTGAAAGTCATGGAACGGAAATCTCATCATGTAATATACCTTTACAAAAGAGAAAGCAGAAAAGGTTTTTATAGTCAACACTGCTGTACGGCTTCTTCATTACTTATTAAGGGACTGAAAAAAGCTTTTAGAAGATGCTTGTTCTTACTCGCATTGCTTTTGCTTCTTCTTTTTGTGTTCGTAAGAAGCACAGTTCAAATGGGGAACAGTATTTTGCTCCTACCTGCCCTTCACCTGTCAATAATTTAATATACCTTAAGGAACAAAAGACACAGATACAGCCAAGTACAAATTAAAATTAAGACCAGTGGAGAATCTCTTATCCCAAGCAGGCAATCTTGCGAACGGTTACGCTCCATAGAGTTCAGCCTCCTTCGCGTACCACCACCATCTCTTTGGACAGAAAAGGAACCTATTCCTGAAACGGTGTCACTCTATTTCTCGCTAGACTATGCTGCGTGTCTCTATCAAACATTTTTTTTAAAAATTAAACTTACTTAGCATTTTCCTTCCTCTGTATCCCTTCTCTGTAGTTATGTGACCACGACAGATGGGACAGTAGGACAAGTATTGCCCACATGACCACATCCAGGCACGTGGCAGTGCAAGGGCAGGAACTGTCAGAATTTCCTCTCATGTGAGACCTGATAGCTTTCCATCCTCTCTGCTGAAATTATTCCAGGTTTACTCTCATTTAAGAGAGAACCAGAAAAATCATCATCTGTTTGTGTGAAAACTGTTTCTTGGCACTTTCAGCGTCCACATCACCCAGGGGAAGCAGGGCCATAACTGACCCACTAGTTCAAGACTGAATCAGCAACTCAAAACACACGTGTGGAAAACACTCTTTGTTCACCCACCAGCTTTTGATGATGAACTTCGTATCCTGAGTCATGCCGGAACTCCGCATCCATCTTCACTTCAGATATCTCTTCCGTTTTAACGTTGGTCAACCCGGAACCTGCATTGCACCGCAATGACAATTCATTAAAGTCATCGACTCGATCACGCTCTGCTTACCTCCACCACTACAAGAGCAGAAGGCAAGGGTACCGTTCACGCGGAGGAGGTGTGATGCAATGTGAAAGGGAACTGGGAGGAAAGTGAGGTACATCTGATGTTTCAGTCCCGCTGAGGTGACACAGAATGAGCTGGAAAAGTTTCTCCTCTGTTAAATGTTCCTTAATCCACTGCAGCTATGTTGGTACAAGCATCAAAGGCTTTCAGCATGAAATATCGCAAGAGCTCCGCTGCGAGGGTCCAACAGCGGACTCCTGAATTGGCTCCCAGGAAACAGACAGATCTGCTCTGACAGCCTCTTTAGCAGTGCCAAGAAAATTTGGTGTTTAGGCCAAAATCTTCCTCCTCCCTAAGCTCAGGTTGCTGTGAGGAAAAAACCCATGCCCATGGTGTGAAGCAGGGAATCCCAGATATTGTATTTTCTTGCTCCCTGTGAGTCTGTACCTTTTGCACAAACATGCACAAGTAAGAGTAATTAAAACGTCTGTGAAGTTTACACAGTTCTTATCTGCTTTCAGATTTCAGACCGCTCAGAATTCATATGATTCAAGCCTTGACTTCTACCTGAGAGATGACAACTGTCCCTCTTGATTAGAAACACACAGGAAAGCAACGAAGCAAAGCTTGCAGCGATTTTAATTGTACAGAGTTTGCAGTCTTGTTCTCCCCTTAGGGGCGTGAAGGGGAGATGCTGCACTCGTCTAACTGGAAAGACGAGCAGGATTTCCTCCTGGAAAATAGCCTTAGGAGCATCAGCCAGACTTACAACAGCTAAGCAGTGCACCGTGTATGAGGATCTATGAATGTTTTGTCCTGAAAAGCTGGCTCTGGCTTATAGAGAACATAAGGGTATGCATGTAGCTGGTTATTTCCCTTCTCAGTACCAACTGACTGACATTTCTATTTCTGTTTCTGTTTCTTTCACTGCAGAAGCGCAGTGTTTATGAGAAGCTATTTCCTCACCCCTATCTAATGTGGTAAGAACAAACTGGTTCATATTCCTTGTCTATATTTATTTTAGCTCTTTTTCACTCCAACTCCTGTCTCCAAGCCTTCATTCTGATTCTCAGTATTTTGGGCAGACCTTAAGCTCTGATGCAGAGGAAGAACCTCTTCTAAAAATTCCCCACACTGCTCTTGGGCTCCACCGTCTCTCTGGACTCCCAGAAAATTCTTGAAGACTTCCATGTGCCAATGAGCTCCACAGTCTGAAGGAGCACCCAATGCAAGAATGATTGCCCTTTTATTGCCTTTGAATATGCAATTTCTTTTCTCATTAAATGCCGGTTTATTTTTGTATTATGAGTCAGCAAGAACAGACCTTCCCAAGAACTTCTCCGGACTGTACAGACAAACCTATTCTAAGGTTCTGATCTTTCTTTTCACAGTAAACCATGCAAAAGAGAGAACAAGAATCATCTTCATGCAGAAGAGTATTTATGGTTATGTTCTTGAACAGTCTGACCGTCCCATAAATTCTACCTTAAGTAATTGTCTTTTTTTAAGGAATAAAGCACTTGAAGATCTCAAATTTCTTTATTAAGCACCTGATTCTTGATGCCACATTACAGTGCTGACACAAGTATATGATGACATTTATAGACAAGAGACCATGTCTAAATGCAAGAACCACAACGTACTTAAGGAACTGCAGTTTGAAAACAAACCATGACGTTCTGTCAATGAGATGCAGGAGGAAATGGAGATGAAGGAAATAAAACCCACATAATACCTGAAAAGAGGTTTAACTTTCTATCCTTGAAGCAGCTACGGTTAGATCTCCAAACTAAAATAAGAATACAATTTACTCTTCTTTGCACATCATCTCAAAACAGCCCCTACACCTGCATCGATGGGAAGAGAAGAAAATGGGAATGTGTATCTGGCTGCACAGAAGCTCACATCTTCAACCCCCTCCCCCTTTTTATCTTAGGATTAAAAGGGAAGGGGGAAAAAAAACCCCAAGAGTGGAATAGCAGTGTTTCACATAGATTAAATAGCTGGGGAGAAAGGGCTTCCCCAGGCCTTGGTTCGCTGCCCACAGCTGCAGTGGCTGAAGAGGCGGTCGGCTCCCAGCTGCTCGCCGCCGGCCACGCTCACGGCTCCGTAGATGGGTTGGCCAAAGCACCATGGGGAAACTCCCCCAAAGCAAGGGCCTGGGGAACCGCACAGCTCTGCTGCTACAGCTGGCACAGGCACTGAAGCTATAAATATTGATTAGAACGTATCCATACGTATATCAGATACATCCGTGAAGAATCAACTTGTCTTTTGTTGAGAGAAGTTGGCCTCCCAAACCTCTTAGAGGTCACCGGAGGAGTTAGGAAGAACTTGGGAAACAGTGATACGGCTTGGAGTGAATCTGGGTTGCCAAAACAGCCTTTGAGAAGGTCTCTGACCAAAGCTCTCGCAGAAGCTACGATGGTAAGGATTAAGAAGGAAAATCCTACACAACTTCCCATAACTGATTAAAAGATAGGAAACGAAGTGTAAATATGCAGCCATTTTTCCCAATGGAGGAAGGTTACCAGCAGGGTCCCACAAGGATCTGTGCCGTGCTCGTTGTCAAGTGAGTTGGGTAAGGGAGTGAATAGCGACATGACAAAGTTTACTGGCAAAAAAATAAAAGGACAAAAGAGGATATTCAAAGTAAAACCAGCTGCAAAGAACTGCAGAAGGATATTACAAATTCTGAGTGCACAATAAAAGGGGAATGGTATTCAATGTTGATATAATGTACAGCGGTGCTCGCAGGGATACACAGCCCTAACTATACATACACAAACCCAGGCCCTAAATCAGCTCTGTCCCACCCAGGACCGAGGCCTTGCAGGCGCTGCAGGTAACTCTCTGTGGGCAGTGGGCTCAGCGGCAAAAAGGCAAAGAGAAAGCTAGGAGTAATTCTGAAGGAACGGAGAAACCAGAAAACATCATTACACTGCTGTAAAAATGATGCAACCTCATTTTAAATCTGGCTATCCATTCGGGTCACCCCACCTCAAACGAAGGCAGAAGAACTAGAAAAGACAGAAAACAGGGAGAGATGGACGATCTCCGGTAGGGAATGGTTTCTGGACAAGAAGGACAAGAGAAGCATGACTCTACACTGGATCAATTACATATTAGGTATGAGACAAAAAATATATATGGGGTTATAAATGCCTTTCCACCAAGTTACATGATAGAATTTAGAGTTTCTATTTAACAGACTTCTCTATTTCCAGTTCATTCACTTTCCTGTCCTGGTGACTACATATTCAGACCTACGTGCCAAAATCAAAGATTTATTTTTCAAAGGTAGAAACTGAAGAAGGAAAAACATAAGGGTCTTCCCAAAACTTTTATCAGAGGTGTGTGAATCAGGTAGGATGCAAACAGCTACGGGCTGCCTACCTAATACCACTCTACTCTTGCGCTGAAGACAAGCATGTGAAGAAAAGTTAACTATATGACAAAAGTTTAATTCTGACACAAAATGGTGTTTTTTCACTACCAAGTCTAAAATACACAACCCAAACACAAAAGCCAATGTAAAAAAAGCAAAGCAAGAGCAACAGCCTCACTGCAAATTCACACGTAATGATAATTATTAGTGCTTTTTCTTCTGAATTACATACTAGCTTTAGGGAGTTGCATTCCTAATTAGCTCAATTTAAAAATGCTACAGTTCAGCTAGTAGATATATTAACTTGCAACTCCTTAGAAAAACTGACAAAACTAGACATTAAAACCACAGGCTTAAAAAAGCATCCAGTAAAATCCAACCAAATGAGCTATTTATGATGGGCTTTTAATTATATTGCTGTTAATTAGCAATGTTAACTGCTTTTATACATACATGTGTACACATGCACATACATACATATCCAAACAACAAACAGAGCAGCGTATGCAAACCTTATCGTTCCTTGCTCTTAAAGGGGAAAAAAAAAATCATAGAGTTAAAAACTACTTGTATGAAATAAAAACCAAGTAGCTGCTTTGGGGAACACTCTATTCTCACACAGATGAGCTTCTGTGTTTGTGTAAATATATACTTAGGCTTTAAGAAGGGTGAGAAAAAGAGGATACAATGAATTCCACCAAGGATGCAATGAGGTGTACATTATCTGTTACACTGCTTCAACTACCCGTTAAATAACAGCCTAGCAAGATTTTGTGATTTTTATTTTGCAAGAATCTGAAACAGTATTAGCTCTGCCTGTGGTCTTCCAGTTACTTTTAGAGTTAAAAATTAAACATCCAAGTGAAGCACAGCTGAAACTACCAGAGCTGGGTGGTTTCTACACAGAGAAAACCAGAAGTAGCATGGTTAAGCCACAGATGTAATGACTGCATGCCGGAAAACATTTAACTCCATGCCCATGAACTGTATTTGAGTAATGGCAGAAAGAAGAAAAGATTTGTTGAATCAAAGCCTGTTACAAATGTAGCAAACAGCTTTATCTGGGTAGAGCTTCATCTAAGATGAAAAGGGTGGATGGAAAGGCATGCAGGGTAGACAGCTGCACGTTCTTACTCGAAGTTCAACTACTACTTCTGTACGACTCCATGGCTTTGTGCAGGTCATTTCATTTTGAAACGGAAGAAGAATGACGATTGGATACTCATTTATAAAGATTAAAATGAAGATTATATACTCAGTTTTGTAAGGAGAACTCAAATATCTTTGAGGAGGAAGTACTTTTAAGACTGCATGGAACCAAAGCTTTCTGGTCTCTCCTTGGAAGTCAGTGAAATGGTGGTTGGCTTTTACTTCAGGGATGACTACACGGCTCTCAAATCGGAGAAAGCAGAGAATAAGTGCAATAAAAGAATGTTACCTTTTTAAAAAAAGAATCTCATTGGAACTTAGTAGGTCATAACGCTTTGTCAGAATACCAGAGATTATCTTACATGTGTGTAAAACTGAATAATCAAAACAGGTAAAATTTGATAATCTTTCTGGCATGTCAATGCAGATGCTATGCATACACACATATAATTGCAGTCATAGTTAATAACTATCTGATTTATAAACCAAAACAATCTAACAGAAAAAAAATCCATTAACGATTTTTATCAGGTAGCTGCAGACAGTTGGTTTAAGACAACTGTATTGAACTAGCATCACTAAGACAGCAAAAAAAAAACCCAACCCTGGCAATTTCTTGCAAGAAAATCATAAATAATTCACTAAGCTGCTCTCTGCCCTCACCTTGTACAGACTGCAGCATATGTGCTAATGACTGCAGAACAGCCACTGGGCTTACAGAGCCTCTGCAATCACGTATTAAAAAAAAAAATCCCTCAGCTTTTATGTAATGTAATAAAGATGGACATGTCATGACTGATCAGCAGAGAAGGGCCAGAGACACAGAAGCAGCTTTATATGCAATGTCTCCTCAAAATTACCGACTGTTTGCAAAAACAATCAACTGTCAAAGAGTTGGGAGAACACAAAAAACCCCCAAACTCTACTACGTGGAAGAAAGTAACACAGTTAATCTCATAAAATCCTTGCATTGTGAATTACGGGCATCCTGTGAGTGATATAATTACAGCTGTTCGTGGTATAATTACACTTCCAACTGTGCAACAGATGAGAATATAATCTACCCTGAACAGAGCACTGGTTATTCTCTTTATCACCTTGAATTTCAGAAAATTTGCTGATACTAAGCAACATCCATTCTGAGGGCGTTTTCCAATCTTCATTCAGTTTCCACAGATCAGATCTACTGAATTAACACGAGTAAAAAGGTGCGTGCTTATAGTCTCTAAAGATGTTTTTATATGTATCTTTACGTGTGTATATGTCTTTCTCTCTATATGCACCCACACAAAGAGAAAAAAGTTCCTAACTAACACATACCCAAGATTCAGCTGCAAGAAACGAAATGCGCATCACGAAAAAGTGACCTCTGGGGCACAGGCGAGAAGGAAACACTACTGCAAAAGCTGTTACAGCGAGGCTGCCAAGGGAAGAGGTACTCCTTCTCTTTGAAGCTCTTCCTATGGAAGTTCTCAGGCTGGACCGAAGCCACCTAACGTCTGTCTCCTTGTGTGAAGAAATTTCTGAATAGCAAGAAACGTCATAAAACTCTTATCGTTTCGGGCTGTACTGAAAAACAGCTCACTGATGACTGCTTAGTACATCTAGGTATTTTCCTTCCCTTTGACCTTTTATTAACTCTGTTTACTTTTTCAGGAAAGAGATGACAGGAAAGGGATTTAGGCATTGTTATTTTTGTTCCCCCATTTGCAAATTAAAAAGGGGAAGAACCATGTGTTGAAGCACTAGGCTCCTTTTCAAATACCAGTGTGAATCCCACAGATGCTGTATCTACACGAGGAAACGGGGGTCCCCTAGACATCACTCTCCTCCTGGGGCTGATGGAGATCAGATTTGAATTCAAGCCTCAACTGCTGACTGCCAAGGTGGACTGCAACAGACGTGGGGGTTTGGACAACTGCCTTAAATTTTAGTAAATGTTTTACACTTGCTACTTACTCATAAGCTTTTCTACTCTATGGACTGGACAATTCTTCACTTTTCCTGACTTGTCATAGACTTTATTTTTTGAAAGAGAGAGAATGATGTGGTGAAGTAACAAGATTCTAGTTATCACAAATACTACTAAGTACTCATTCTTCTTTTCTGTACTGTGACCAAATCATCTCCCTTGTGGGACAGGGACAAAGATCATCTGCGTGATTTTGATCCACTTTTAAGAAAACCGTAGTGGTCATTCTAAGAATGTTGTGTGGGCAAAAAGTGGTAAAAAGAAAAGTGAAAAAAGGGCACGTTTGTATGTTTGTCTTTGTCCTTTCAGAGCTGATTTTCTTCAAGGATTTTGAAGACCTACAAAACATTCACTTGTTCCTATTCCCAGGCTCGGACTGTTGCAGGTTGACACAACACCTGTATTTTCACCCTGAAGCAGCAGGTCACCACCTTCTTCCCTTGAGCCAAACCAGCAGAAGCACAAACCGCAAAGTCAGGACTATGAAAAGGGCAAATCTTTTCAACAAGAATCTGGGCAATTAAAACAAAACAAGAAGTTACAAGCCGCTGCATGTATTAAGCTGCCTCCAGGGCCCTTGTTAATACTTCTTCATTCTGCAATACTACTACTCGTTCTTCAGACTTTTTTTTTTTCCGATAAAGAATAGCCCCAAACTGTAAAACCCAACTATCCCAAAAGGACAGTCACTGCCCCTCCCAATCTCTTCTTTTTTTTAATCTCTAACATAAAATTTTATTTATAATCAGCAAGTAAAACAATTTTAAAGGGCACATTTTTAAATTGTCAGAATCCCTTTTGTATTTCACAGTTTAATTAAGCATCCATTTGCTTTCCTCTATTCCTAGTTTATGAAGCTACTCAGACTGGTATCAGTTTTTGTTAAATTGAAATTTTATCACAGATCATGGGTCTTCACAGCACTTAAACTCTGCGCTCGAAGCGATGAAGGCGGCAGAGGCCCCTGGCCAGTACTACTTTGGCACTTGAGCAGAAAACTGAGGAAATATCCCATGAGATTTTCATTGTGCAAAAGTTACTGTATCTGGTGGAAGTGTCAAGCCATAACGGTCACACACTGAAATATTTTTTTACCTCTCCTTAGTAGTCTATCGTGCACATTCACAAAGATCACTCATGACCTACGCTTGCCGTACTTTTGGTACTATTTGTATCACCCCAACCAACACGGCGCTTTGAGACAGTGGACTAAAACACATCATTTCACTCTGAAACTCGAGTGCGGCAGCGTGAGAAAATCCTTTCTCTAGAGAAGGGACACCAAAGATTTCTGTCACGTGTGTGTATGTGCGAAGGAACAGAAGAGAGGAAGGAATAATCTGTAGTAATAAATACGGGCCTCACGACAGGAGATTTTTCAAGACAACTGAAATTAAAATAGTTAACAATCACAAATTGTAACGATACAGGAAAATTGCTAGATTGAACTAACATTGCCACATTCAGATTAAACACATTCATGTTTCATTAGTGATGGTATTTCTACTGCTCTTGGGGAAGAAATCTAATCCAGAAGGCAGAGATAACCCAGTACTGGGGGGATGCTCCCTGAGCCCATGATTTCTGGCACTGTCGTACAGCTAGCTCTGTACCTGTTTCCAGGCTCTCTTCATGGAACGAATTAAGACTCTAAACACAAGTACAGATGTCAGACGCCTAAAACACTGCTAGGAGCACATCACCTGCCCAGCCTTGTATCCCAATTGCTGCAACATATCAGCTTATTTTACTTCCCACTGTAGCCACTTCTACAGTCAGTAAACACGGGTGAGTTATCAGAAAGATTTAAACATGCTAGGAGGGTGTTGCCCATAATGCTATGTAACGGAGGCTTGGAGGAAAAAAATGAAGGGAAAAAGAAGACAGATTGCTGAGTTTTATCTGATCTGAAAAAAAAGACCCACATCGACGATTTGACACTGAAATAATTCTGACCTTAAAATATATCGCTCTAATCTCACCATGTGTTGGAGAGTAACCTCTTCTGCAACAAAAGGCTGTTTGCTCTCAATGCAATCAGCCATTTCTAGATAATCCTAAGCAAAAACAAGGGGAAAAAACAACCTAAAAAGCAAAAGAAGTCAGTATGAAAAGCAATCTTTTACTTTTGAAAATTCAATTTGTCCCACTTACCTTTTCCAAACATTTCCAGCCTGCCTGAAGCTAGTCATCTGCTACTACTCTGAAATCAGTAGGAAGACACAGGTACCTACAGAGGGCAAGGAATCAGCCCTCCCTACCCCAGAATGGAATGAACGGCCCTACAGAGCTGTCCTCAGTGAATCCAGAGGGAGAATATCTGTATCAATTTTTAGATGTCTGCAGTTAGCTAAGATAAGTATCACAGCAAAAAATACTGATGTCCCCTGCAATTCTAAAATTGTAAACATGAACTCTCATTAGCCCCAACTTACAAGAAACTGTATACTCAACATAGAGGGTTTGACATTTCTGTCACACGTTCCCAAATTAAAAGTACTCTCTGCACCAGGGGGTACCGTGCCTGCTGCCTCCTGCACCTGCCAAAGTGTTGCTGCTAGAAGGGACGACAACTTGATACGAATGCCAGTTCTGGGTCTCTGGGTCCCGCTCCCTCTGCATGTACCCACTCCCAACGCCCTTGACACAGACAGCACCCACGGAGGCTGATGGGGGTTTGCGTGGGAACACTCCCCTGGTTCACAGCATCACATTTTAAGAGAGGGTTATACCAAAGGAAAGGTGATGGTTTCAGCTCAAGCAGACCACATGCACGCTGGGGAAACACGGGTTAGGTAAAAGCCATGCGAGTTCTATACCTGGTCGTGTGGTGAGTCCTCTGTCTGCAGCTGGGCGGGCATCAACTGGCTCAACTGGGCATGTGCAGAAAAGAAACAAAAAAGCAAACAAAAAATAAACAAAATACCCCAAAATGACAAAGTCAACTGCTCCTCTGTTGGGACAGTGCAGGAGAGACATACTGCATATACCAAGTAACCGAAGCAACAGCTAGAAAAGATCTGCTTTCAGTTAATCCTGGAAATAAAAGGAAGGGATGGGCACAACTTCAGAAAGAAAGCTTCACAGTTGATGTGTCAATTTTTCATCATATTCTGGTTATTGCTTAAAGTGAGAAACCATCCAGATCAAAGAATTTCTGCCTACAGAGCAAAACTATATTCATTACGTGCAAACTTCTTCCAGCTGTCTGATCAGAACTGGCAGCAAGAGCGGACATGATGAGTTCTTGCAGCTACTCTTGATCAATGCTGACTTATAAATCCACTGAATCCCGACTCCTTTTTCCTTTCAACAGGGATTCTTTACAGCACTAGCTATAAGGTTTGAAAAAAGTAAAGTGCATTTTGAAAATACAATCAATACTTCATTCCGATATGCTCTGATCTGTAGACAGCAAATTTGTCTTCTAATTTTTGAAAGGGAAGCAAAGGAGAACCACCACTTTCCACCCACCTGTGTGTCATACGCAGTTTTTCAAAACTCCTGTATTACCGTACTAAGGCTTTATCAGCTGAAACCTAAGGTTGATGGAGCTCACCGGCACTAATAGAAAAACAGGATTTGCAAAACTGAGAGCTGTTTGAGTCATTAACTACTGCCTCGGTTAAGTCCAAACATATTGGAGAAGTTAATTAGATTTTTTCTGCGCTTTTTTTGTTGTTTCTCTCTCTGCTCCAATACTGTTGCCTTCCTTATCTTTCTAAGTGCCAGTGTCAGAAAGAAATTAAATTCAGAAATAAAATATTACGTTGTACCTTACAATTCAGGATTTTTAAAATAAGGTATTCTCATTCATTTGAATTTCTGGATTCAAGCATGAACCTTCTAATCAGCAGTAAGTGAGCTACAATAACTTAAGAAACCTGACAAAAACATAGTTTTTGATCAAGAAGAACTGCTCACCATATTTGGCATCACAAAAATCACACACACCTGATGATACTGCTGACTTAAGGAACGGAGCTGCCCATCTTCTCAGGAATTGTGTGTCACTTGCTTTGTCTTCCTAGGGGTCTGACAAACAACCTACCATGGTTATAAGCGAGAACCTACGTGGTACCCATGTCCTTTGTACACAGTAGATGACCACAACAGCTCGTCCCTCCAAAAAAACCCAGTAAGTCAGCTTTATAGTAGCCACAGATTAAAAGCGTATTGGCACATCTGACCTGCTTGTGTTTCCAGAAGGGCAAAATTTTCACAGAGCTTGCTGGTCTGGAGCTGCCGAGACAAGCCATCAAACCATGCTCCTTCACAGCTGTTTGGAGCAGCACTAGCAGACCATGTAATTGCTTTCCTTTCATAGCACTACACAAAACCCCACTTCCATCCTTAACCAAAAACTACAATTTTGAGTATTCTCCTATTTAAGTCTTCTGCTCGGTTTTCCAATATTGTTGGCATCAACCCTCAGGTAGGTCAGCAGTAATCTGCAGTGCAAAGGACTGAAGGGAAGAACCATCCAAGGCCCAACGTTACCCAAACTGCTCCTGCAGAACCCTCCTCTGTCGCCCTGGTCCCTGCCTCCTCCCTGGAAAGCTGAGGGGTTTTGTTTCCCTCTCGCTCTGTAACCCTATGGGCCCTCAGCTATGGGGAACTGGGAGAGCAGGCTGTGGGTAGCAATGAAACTGGGTGTAGGTGAAGGGAGAAAAAGATGGAGGAAGATTCTGTCGTACAGTAGCATGGACCTGACCTCAGGGTAATCCAGTACTTGTGGAGTTAGGATGAGCAATTCGTCTTGCCATCTGTAGTTTTGGAAGCACTTTACAGGGGAAAAGGCAACCACCACTGGCACGTTTTGTAACTGACACAGAAGTAAAACGACCTGCTCAAGGTCACAAACCAGTCGTAGGGCAAAAGCTCAGAGCCAAGGGTCTTCCAGGACAGATGGTGATTCCAGGCGCCTAAGAGCAGTATGCCCCAGGCAGCAGGACACAAAGGCTGGTTGCTGGAGAGCCCTCAGCTGCCACCTTTTGGATTCCACTGGCATTTTAAAACCAGCTTCTTCTCGCCCCGGTATTGATGTATGCACTAACAGCAGTCACCTCAGAAAATCCTGTCTGTGGGTTCCCTTGCTGCCTGCCCCGCTGGACCACACCACCTCACAACAGTCGATACAGAGGGGAGAAGTTTAAACCTACTACAGCATTTATCAATACTCAAAACTCTAAGATGTACTGTGTATTATTATAAAAACTGCATTCAGTTTGATGCTCCGGAATCATGTTCTCTTGAACACGCTTCCATGTGCACAGAAGTACACAGAATTAAGACTGAAAATTTATTTTCCAAATAGCCTCACAAAACTAAATTGGTAGGTATCTGCTTACACTGACTGTGCAGCCTTCACGCAGGCTACACATCCCACCTTATATCTAATGTTAACACATCTCAAAAGAGCAAGAGAGAAGGTGGTTGCTTCTGTTTTCAAAAATAAAGGAAAGGTGAATCAAAAAGCTCAAAAGCTAGTAAAAACCAGCAGGCGAGGAGAGCTATATGATGCTCACCTACCAAGAACAGTGGCAAAGGGAGCCATAGGGATAACACAGTACAGTCACAAACATTTCACTTCAGCTAAATACTTTGTCACTAAGGTTAACTGTAACTGCATGGTAAAATACAAAGGGTAAACCCAGTTAGTCACTGGTAAAATGCCCCGGGGCCTTGGCAGCGTCAGAGCTTCACAGCTGTTGGGGTTTTGCCCCTACCTCTGAAGATGCGTTTTTCATTGCTAAAATACAATTTCCTGACAGTTGGGTGGTGCCTTCCGCGGTGTCCTCAGAGAGCATCTTTTGCTAACCTGGTTCGTATCACAATACGCTAGACGTGTGTCCAGCCAGGCACGATGGGTAGGGTATTACCTGGTGCTTTGGATTCATTTCTGTGGACGTTTACAGGGAAACCACCTCAGGGAATCAACAAGGAAGGACATACTTTCAGAAAACACTGAGCTACGCTAGACTTCCAAGGTCTTCTTGTTTTTAGGGTATTTTTCACTCATTCCTCAGGTAAAGCAATTTTAGTAAAATAAACTGCTTGCATAAAACCTATCCTTTTACCTAAACATGCAGTTTAGATTGAGAAAATTTCAAATGAGTTATGAAACCTTGAGATTATATGGCAACGTACCAATCCAACACATTATTAATATCTCTGGGTGAAACCTGGGATTAGATCATGGCCATGGAAGAAAACAGGCATGGGAACTAAAGGCAAATTTAAGGTATGTTTTGCAGCAATTTTAACTTCATCACTTGTACACAAAATACTTGATATTTTGAAACTAAGACTTAATGGCTGCACTTCCTTCCACTTGTTCCACAATCACATTTTGGTTTAAGCATTCCCCGAATAGTTCGTTAAAAACAAGTCCCATCACTGCGACTGCCGGAGCGGGTGGGACACCAGGTCCTACCCCAGCCAGCTCCAGGATCTGTTTCGTTGCCTCTCAGACTTCAATGGTCCCATTAGAAACTTGTTTTGACAGTGATGCAAGTTTGCAATGAGGTAAACGATTTACCTGGCGTGCCTGCTCAGGACTGAAGAAAACTATTGCTTATACAGCAAACTATTGCTCTTTGCAGCGAGGAAGTCGAGACTCTCACTCTACCTAGAAACCCACCTGCCTATGCCGAGCTGTTAGCACTCTGGATTTCTGTTCGGCGGAGTTCTAAAAACGCTGACTTCAGCTTTCAAACTAGACCAAAACAGTATCAATAACTGAACTTGTAACTTGCTTGCCATCTGAAACACCTCTGGTAGGCTCTGTGAGATCTGCTGGCTCAGCGGCTCAGCAGATTTCCCAGACAGCAGGCTGTTCACATGGAACATGCTGCAATCTCCTTGACGGTGCTGAGTACCCTCAGCCCTCACCTGGGTGAATGGGAGCTGAGATGCTGAGCTCTCTGACCTTCGCTGGCATGCTCAGCACCTCCCAGCAGCAAGAGATGCTGACCGTCACTACCACTGCAATGGTTAGTCACTCTGCAGTATCTGGGTTTCTCTAGCACATGATTTCTGAACTGACACCTTTTTTCATCAATGGTTATTTGCTAAGAAACAGCAATGACTTGCTCAGTACTGCATAAAATATAAAAACCTCCCTGCATAAGGGGAATACTGTGTGAAAAACAGACTATGCAAAAAGACCTTCAGGGGAGAGGGAGAGGAAAAAAGAGGAGAAAATTGTGTCAATTGTTATTTGCTTCTTGCTACTTTCAAAGCATGTTATAATAAGACAGACACACGTTTTTGGAAGGAATTTAAACAAAGCCTGGGATTAGACCATGGTCAGGGAAGAAAACAGGCATGGGAAGTGAGGACAAATGGCACAGTTAGTCCTGGGGTTCTGGAACAAAGAGGTGGTAGACAAACACAACGGAAAAAGATGAGGCTGTGAAATTCCCCCTTGAGAAGGTACAGAGAGGGTATCTAAAGAGAGAAAGCAGGTATTGTAGGCATGATTGTATTAACAACATTGTGGTTTGGGTAGATGACAGAGAAGTATAATGGGAAACAAGAAGCACTTGAAGAGGTTTAAGTAGTCATTAAATAATTTCTGTTTCTAACTGTGCACACATAAACGCTAATAACGGTTGGCCAAACAGAACGGTTTGCTGCCGTAACTTCATGACAAATAAAATCCTGATATAAAAACCCCTAAACCCCAACAACTTAAAGGCACTGAAGTTAAAAGATGTTCCCACAGTAAATATTAAGAAGTGCTACAACAAACCATGTAGTGCATTAAAACAGACAGGATTCATAATTAAACAGTATGTTATTCAAGGCAGAAGAGTTTTTGTTTCTTATTTGCTATCATACATTTTAGAAGGAGAACCATGCTCAATATAATTTGCCTATGAGAATTCAGTGTCACATTGAAGTATGTACCTTTCATTATTAAATTCTGGGCTTAGCCAGGTTTCTGAAGGAAAAAAAGGCTTGCGTGATTAAACTGTGGGAACGTCTGGGTACACCTGTCTACCTAATAACTTCTGAACTTGGTGACTGAAATCAGTACAATTTGAAAGCTGGGAGGACAGCCTTCAAAAGTAATTAATTCTCCCCCCAAGTTTCATGAAAGCAGGCAGCGGGCATAGAAATCAATGCCCTGTATGCCTCAGCTATGGGAAAAACTGCAGTGAGAGCTGTATTGGGAAATTCCTGCCGGACAGCCAGCACCGGCCGGACTGCAGCCTGCTGCTGGCAGACAGCCTGGACACGGGCACCGCACCGAGCTGCAGCTCAGTCCCCAGGAACTGAGGTTCAGCCTGCCAGCCTGGTCAGCCGCCTGTGCTCCTGGCCAGCACCTGAGGCAATCCAGCCAGCTGCTCTCGGCTGCTCAGCACGTCACTTGGCTGCAAGTGCCCTCCAGACACGTCTGGAGTCCTCGTCACCATCTCCTGTCTTCTGGTTCTTGCTGCTGGCCAGTCCGTTGTGCTTGCTCCAGCTCTCTCTGCTCTTTTACTTAGTCCCTACCTGGAATGCCAACTCCCCAGCAGTCTGATTTTAGCCCTGCTCCTGACCAGCCTCTCCTCTTCCCCTCAAATCTGGTATACTTGGATGCATGAGGACAAGTGTGGCCAGCAGGTCGAGGGAGGTTCTCCTCCCCCTCTACCATGCCCTGGGGAGGCCACAACTGGAGTGC